ATGTTTTAAGAAATCCTTTGAGATCTCATCTCCCCCCGGAGCCTTGTGGGCTTTACATTTTCTCAGGTTTGATATAACCTCATTCACAGTGATAATTCCATCAAGCTCCGGAATGAGTGGACCCAAATATATAGTTGTGACCAAGGGCCTTACTGGGCAAATTCTTTGATAAAAAGCGTACCATTCCTCCAGTGAGATAGAGTAACTAATTGGTATGAAACCCATTCAGTACCGAACTATACCCCAGAACACTTTCTGGTCATTACACATCGCGAATTTGTCTGTAATGTCCCTCTAGTAGGCACGCTTTCTATTCTTTATTAGATTATTATGGCCTTTCCGCGCTTTAATATACTCCATTCTACCACATTCATCATAGTTGCTTTGAAGAAGCTCCTTACCCAAATTGATAAGATCAGCCTCCGACTGCTGGCACTCCTGATCAAACCAAGGTTTATTTGGCTTAAAAATTGGATTATTTGATACTCCGACGAACATCCCTAGAGAAAAAGCTACCTTCTTAATCACATTGCATAAATTGTCATTTAGAGTATCCACCGAGTCTATTTCGAAATTTCCATTTGTTTCGGAACCCCACAATTGATTCGCAAAATCTTCTTCTAGTTCGTCTGTCCATTTTATAACATTTCTTTTAATACATTGTGATTGATTCTTATTCCCAACAAAAATATTTAGATTCTGGACCGTGACAAGAATTGGGTAGTGGTCAGACGTAATAGTGCTTTTATCAACTATCATTTTCTTAACTAGGTGACAATGCGAAATATTCACCAGGAGTTCTCCAGGATAATCACCTGCAATTCTACGATTTAATAATAGAAAATTGTTCAATTCCATAAATTCCAGTAATTTTTCACCCCTCGGGTTTTTCTTTTTATGCCTGGAGGATCTCTCTGCGTAAACTGCTGTACCCTCAAAAACTTCATCCGGCCAAGAATTCAATTCTGCCACCCAACTATTAAAATCTCCCCCAATAATCCAGAAGTGGTTTTCAAAGTCAGTATCCAAATCCAAAATAGTGTTCTGCAGTGAATCTATGACTGAATCCATTTCCAAATCTTGCTTCAGATAAACAGCTACAATTATTAGCTCAAAATTAGCTATACTCGCTTTCACAAAAATACAAAACTCATTTGAGAACAATAAAGTTACCTCGGACTCGCCCTTTTTATTGAGAAATAACCGACCACCACTGGCTCTGCCTACATTAAAGTCTTTAGTCGCTGGAATCCATATTTGATCAAGTCTACTATCCCAGCATTTTGCTAAATAGTATGGAGTTTCAGGTTCCCAGGTTTCACAAATGAAAATGAAAGGACACCTGCAGCTGCCAACGAAATCCGCTAGGTGCCCTGGTCCATTGGAATTCCAGAAGACAAGCTTGAAGGTGCCAGAGATTTCTTCAAGTGTTCCAGCATGACGTGCTGTGTCCACTGGGTCTGGTATTTTCCCTGGTTTCTCGTCAATGGCTTTGGACGACTCACATCTGCATTGACATTTCTGTGCTCCACAACTGGGGTCAGCTTCTGCCTCACTTCATCCCATTCAAACCACACGGCATCCAACTTTATTTTCAGATAACCCAATTTCACTTTGACCCCTTTCAATTTCACCTCTTTTGCAATGGCTCCCAGTGTTTTCATAATCAATCCCTCTCTTGCAGTTAGATCGGAATCGATGAATACTTTTGTGTTTTTAAGAACGACCCTTTTATGTCTGAGAATGTCTAGCTTGGTATCCCAGTCGGCGAGAGTTACCGTGGGAACATATCCTTTGACATCAACCCCCACAATACCAGTCTCCAGGTCGAATTTCTCTACAATAAATTCACTGATCAACTTTGGGTCAGCATAATATTCTTTAGGGAGTCCCCTCACAATAATATTGAGCTTCTTCTTAGCTCTCTCCTTCGCATCCATACCCGCAATTGTATTGTTTATAGCTTTTGCCCATTTACCCTCCAGTGAGACAATGTGCTCAGCCATCGCTATTGAGAGGGATGACTTCACCTGCTGATCGATAAGAGAATTCACATCTTCCCCCCCCCCTGTAGTGTAACATTCTGTTTCGGGGCATTTTCAAGAATTGCAATTCTCGTTTCTATGGTCGTGAAGCGCTCGTTTGTCTGCTTCAAACACCTGGATATTTTCAGCCATACCCGAGTACAGACTCTTCATCTCAATGAAATTTGCTTGAGAATTTTCTTTCACTTCCTTCAGGTCAATTGCAATACTGTCAAGTTTAGTGGAGAATTTCTCCATGAGTTCATTGAGTGATACTTGACCCGGTAGCAGTGTAGGTTTTTTAAGGAGAGTCTCTGAATTTTTTTTAGGATCAGGCGCCATATTCAGATAGTTACGCGGATGGAAGTGACTGTAATTGTTTTTGGAGTTAGTAGCTGGAGAAGTGGATCTTTTTTTGTCCAGAGGAAAGGCAATTTGAAACTCCGACTGTCTTTTTGCTCTCTTTTTACGGTAATTGCCTAGGTCAGTATCCACTGAATTGGCTCTTACACGTATAGGGGTGCAGGTGCAGGAGGCTTGCTCTGTTTTTAATTTAATTGGCTTCTGGAGATATCCTGCTATAAATGAAATCTTCGGTGTGGATGACTTGCTTGGGGGGGTAATGTTGTCATCAGCATCGACCAGTGTTGTTTCCAAGTAGACGGTATCCAACCTACTGTCAGAGAACGATCTCTCTCTATAAGGAGAAGTGGGGGTCGTGGGCGAAGCTGTCGAGTTTTCACGTACAAGGTGTTGGGTGATTTGAGCCTCACTTTTATCGGCCTCTGTTGTTACACTAGATTCATGTGCTATCGTTTGAGTAATGGCACTAGTGGAAACAGGCGCCTTTTCACTAATGTCGCTACCTGTGGCTTTCATATTCCATATACATTGGCATATCAGAGACTCACTTTCTATGGTTCAGCACCCCACGTGTATAACCTCATCACATGAGACCTGCTTTTAAGAATGCATCCACAAACACTAAATGGGAATGCACTGTCGAAATTATTATGCTCGAATGACACTCGTAAATTAAACCGTCACTGGAGCACTCATGACGAAAATTTTCCCACTCAACTTTCTTATTCTGACCAAAAAAACCGGCCAGCGACCATCTCCGATGTACTCAACTTCGCGCATGCGCAGCGTCCCCTTATAATTATGTCAATAATGTGAAGCTCCTTATACCCTAGATCCCCCCTTGGAGACCATGTTAGCACGCTCAATATGGCGGATAAATTTCACAATTGAAAAAGCACTAATTATGATTTTCACAAACACACATGCACACTTGAGACGTAATTTCTGACCTGTGAACCATTGTTTCCCATTTTTTCAATCACTTTTCACCCCGAGTACATGGATAATACGTCCCTAATTAGTTCAGGCGAAAATGAGGTGATCAACTGTCAGAAAGAATACCTACAAAACCTGACAGATGTCGCCAGCGTGAACTCGCACATGAGCCGAGTTCCATTGGTATTTTGTCTCAGGATGGTAGTTAGCAGGGGGCCCTGTGGGTGCTTCTATTTCCGGGAAAAAATTTTTGACTTGTATAGAGATCATTTTTGAAGAAAATCTATCGAAATTCACGATTTTTCGAAAAAAAAACATCCCGGTTTTTCAACATATTGTAGAAAATCTTGCGGCTTTCAAACAAATTCATCAAAACCCTCCGGTTTCCTGAGAATTTCTAGAAAAAGCTCAGGTCATTTAGAAAAATTTAGAGAAAATTCTTTGCCTTTCTAACAAATACCAGAAAATTCTCCTTATTTCCTGGGAAAATGGTAGAAAATCCTTTGGTTTTCTTATGAATTTCCAAAAAAATTTCAGTTTTCTCAAAAATTTGGAAAAATCATACGTTTTTCCAAAGAACTCAAAAGTTTTCTCCGGTTTCCCAACAAATCTGAGAAAATTCTCCGGTTATCTAGAAAATTCTAGAAAATTATGATTTCCGGGAAAAATCAGCACAATTCGTAGGTTTTCAAAGTGCACTTCTACGCACAAGTATCGAACGCTATTTTTCGTCACAATGTGTGGGAAATGGGATTTTGCGCACGCAGAGGCCGTGTGAAATTTCATTTTATATACAAGTGACGAAAAATATCGACACGTTTCCAATTCCTGTTCTCCCGGAAAGGTCCTGAATTCCCCCTCTCGCACCATCCTGTATAGATTCTGATATTCAAAGAAAATTGCGTGGTAAGAAAAATAAGATTCACATGTTTTTTAAACGAAATTCCTCCCATAAAGTTCATAAACCTCATAAAACCCTCACATGACTCCTATATGACACCTATATAAACTCATGGCCCTTATATAACCTTTTCCGGACCTCATGTAACCCCCCATGATTCCCATATGACCCTCATCTGGCCCCCATATGACCCCCGTAAAAACTTCATATGTCCTCCATATGACCCTTAAAAACCCCCATATGACCCCTATATGACCCTTGCATGACCCTCATTTGATGCCCATCTATGACCACCATATGACCCTTATGACCCTAAATTTCATCGGAAATCGTACAGGACATCCTCTAGAAAATACTATAGGTCATCCTATAAGAAATCCAAGAGCCAATACCATATGACCCTCATGACCCTGATTCAGACCCTTATGACCCTAAATTTCAAAGGAAATCCTATACGAAATCTTATAGGACCTTCTCTAGGAAATCCTATAGGAAATCCTGTTTGAAAAATCCTATGGGATATGTTCGAATTCTCCATACGATTCCCTATAGGAAATCCTATAGGAATTTTTCATACGTGAAAGTTCAAATTTCAGAAGTCGAAAATTCATTGATAAAAACGAATAAATGGGATGGGAAAATATACAATAAATGAAAGAGACAATTTTTTATTTCATGGGCCCCTTTTATTTTCTTAGTTACAAGAGTATATATCCCCTATCGCCCCACTGCCCTCCACCCCCTCCGTCACAATGTCCTCCCCCTCCTCCTCCTCCTTACCTCCTAGGACGATTGCCACGATATCCTGGATATCCACAACCTCCTCCCCAGTTTTTCTTCCCTCTCTTCTTCTTCTTCTTCTTTTTTGCTCCCACTCTCTTTCTTTCCTCGTTCTGCAGTTGCAGCTCCACCAGGATGGCACGCAGCATCTCTCCTTCACCAGCAGTGGGTGGAGGGGCTATAGCTTCAGCTCCAGCCCCAGTTCCAGCCCCAGGCCCACTGGCAGCTTCAGTTCCAGACCCACCTCCACCTCTAGCCTCAGTCCCAGACCCACCTCCACCTCCAGCCCCAATCCCACCTCCAGCCCCAGTCCCAGATCCATCACCAGCCCCAGACTCACCTTCAGCCCCAGACCCACCTCCACCTCCAGCCCCAATTCCAGACCCATCTCCACGTCCAGCCGCAATTCCAGATCCAGTTGATGTGACTCCTTCTCCAGCCTCCAATCCAGCTCCAGTTCCAGTTGCAGGTGAGTTTCCACCTCCAGCTCCAGTCCCGGTCCCAGGCCCAGTCCCAGCTCCAATTGCAGGAGCACCTCCATCTACACCTCCAGTCCCAGTCCCAGGCCTAGTCCCAGCTCCAGTTGCAGGAGGAGCTCCACCTCCACCTCCAACTCCATTTCCGACTCCAGATCCAGCTCCTGTTCCTTCAGGTTCCCTAAGGCCTTGAAAAACAGGGTTTGGTGGGGGCCGTCTGAGCTGCGACAAAGAAGGAATCGTTCTATACATTCTCAACTCTTACAAGGCACTTTCACATTTACTTATAAAATGTAAAAATTGGTAAACGTGTACAACACCACCCTCACATCTAAATTAATTATTTTCATAGTAAATTTGATATATTCACTTTCAGTATCACAAAATCAAACTAAATAGGTGCCGAAATAATTAAAAAGTAAAACAAAAAATCAATATGTTGTTACAATATCAATTAATTATAATTAACCTCTTCCAGGACAAGGTAATTAAATTTGTAATCAACAAAGGAGTATTGAGATCCCATAATTATTCTAATAATTGTGGCGAGCCAATGCAATATAATTCCGAAAATCGATTATGGAGATGGAGAAACACATATTATCAAAAAAACAGAAAAGGTAAATAAGTCAGGAGACCGTGTGACACACAACTAAGTGTCCTCACTGGATCTTGGTTTGCCAACACTAAAATCAAGATTAACATATTATTCAGACTCATAATAAATTACATAATTGCAGATAAAATCACAATTAAGAATTCACAAATAGAGCATGAACTATCAAATAAAACCACGTGGTTATGGATCAACAGAATTAATTTAATTCTGGAAGTATGGTACAATATTGAGACGACTAAGAAGTTGTAGAGGTAGATGAGACTAGAATAGGTGGGAGAAAGTATAATAGAGGCAGAAAGACCACGGGCCAGTGGCTGTTTGGCATTTACGACAGAGAGACTAAACGAATTTTTGTCACACCAGTTCCAAATCAGAAAGATAATATTCTCCAACTACTGATAGTGAAACACGTCGAACCCGGCAGTACATTGTACTCAGACGGGTGGGCCGACTACAAAGGCCTTCGAATTCGTAGTTTTATCCACAGACGAGTCAATCATAAATATCAGTTTGTCAACTTTCACGACAAGAATATCCACACGCAGAACATCGAATGTGTTTGGAGGGATCTCAAGTCGTACTTGCCGAAATACGGAGTCGGATTGGTGAGGACAAGCGAGAAGATAAGGAAAATTGTTTTCAACCGAGTATTTCCATACCAAGAAAGAGTAGATGGCTTCTTTGACTTTCTCTCGGAGATCTATAATCCATATTGAACTGAATTTATTTAATTTAATTGGGTTTAGAGTCCGCATGTATCTGAATGAATTATTGAATATCTACGTGAAATGGAGTTGGCCAATATGTAATGCGAAACTAAATATGGTGAGTGATTATGTGAATTTTAAAGTCATAATAGACTACCACAAAAAACACTCATTGTTTCGCATAGAATATTTCAGAAATTATTTAATAATAATTATGATATTGTCATCAGGTGAGATGATGGAGGTGTTGGTACATCAGGGACAATTTTCTTTCTTAATTAGGCCCCGAAGGTGTATTTATTTTTTGATATTTTATGGGAATAGTGGTGCCAGGCTCTTTTTTGAGGTCTGTAACCACTACGTCCACGTCGTGGCCTCGGGTAACGCTAAAGTGGTCATTCAATAAATAAGTTGTCGAAATTATTTATTTGGAAAAAAAAATATGAAACAGAATTATTTTTGAGGATAGGTTCAATGTGCGCATGCGCTGCCCCTTCCCCATCATCTCGATACCCCCTACTATTCTCAGTTGATGAATAACAACAACTAGTATAACCACAGAACTCAGGCAGTAACATGCATTTGGCCTATGCACTGCGACGTGTTATTTTCCGTCACAAATAGCATTTGTTGTTTATTCGACCGTTTCGCGTGTGGGTTTCGAATTTAAAAATCACCAGACGGGAAGTCACCAACCGACAGCGAGAGTCACGAGAGAGGTTCAGTATATTTTGTTAATTCTTTTGTTCTGTATCGTCTTCTGGATTGTTTGAATCGAATCTGGCGCCGACATCGTGGGACTGAGGTGGCAATGTCTCCGGGAATCGTCGAGGGACTTCGGGACACTTCGAGTTCGTGATGAGAGCCTCATGGGTCTTCGGATTGCCAGAGGTCGCCAGCTCTCGGGCAACTCTAGGGGAAACGTGACGTAGGAGCCCGGCTGGTTCAATGTGGAAGGGGAAGTGAAGGATTTCACCGAGATCAGAAGGAGGTTGAGTTAAATCGTCCTTTGGTGACGAAATGGTCAGGAGAATGATTTGGAAGGAGGTCAGAAGACAGNTTGAGTTAAATCGTCCTTTGGTGACGAAATGGTCAGGAGAATGATTTGGAAGGAGGTCAGAGGACAGTTGGATTTAATTGATACTCTGGGATAAATTGTTTTAATTAAATAACGTCTGAGAAGTCACTGTGCATGCGCCGACGGACTTGGTTCGGCCATGTGAGCGACAGAGTCTAGTTGTCTGGAAACTGATTGGAGGAGTGGACGGAACGAGCAGCCAATGAGCGTCGTTACCGCGTTTTCACAGTCCAGCATGGTGTCGCTGGGAAAACGAACCTCACTTCCCGTTTGGTGGTTCCAACACACGTTGTGTTTAAGCAATTTGTAGAGTTCAATTGCGTTAATTTTGGAATTTTGGGGAGCCTGAAGGCGATCTGGAAGGAGAATAAGACCTGTGGAGGAAGCCCCGAGTGGATTTGTCTTGAAGAAGGTCCCGAGGACTCGGAATTGAAGAGTTTTTGAGACGTTTTCCGGAGGCATCGAGGTGGACCGCTGGGTGAGCGTGATGGCTACGGCTCTGTATGGCGCATCTGTGTAAATTTGTCGTGAGTAGGACTCTGGCCAATTTTAGAATTTTGAATAGATGTTCCGTGCATCTTAGTCCCGTAGGACTTTTAGAGTTTCGAGATAATTGCCGGATAGAGTCCTAGTCACTCTGATCAGTACTTGATTATTGGGTCTTTTTGTCTCTCTCTCGTGCGTAATTGGAACCATTGTGTTTGATCATTCAATTTCGGTTGTCTCGCGACATTGAGTCATTCCGTAGAACTTCGGGCTCTCGGGTGTCATGTTGCGAGTAACGATTATTTTGTTGAAAATGAGTTAGTGTTGCGTCTAAATTAATTTGTGTTGGACGAACGCTCTCTCTGCCGGTGAATATTCAGTGAAGGACATTGAACGTAGGTCTTTTGTGTCTCGTGACCTTGCTTCGTTCCGCTGGCCCCTTGTCTTGAGTTTTCGTATTTGTGTCGGACAGCCAGCGTTACTTGTCACGTAGATGAATTATTGGGTTTCGATCGTTCAGTGTTGTTCAATCTACATGATTATTGTTGACGATATCTTGATTCTGGTTTTATTTTTTTTCCTCTTTAACATTGGTTATTCTTGACTTTTGCGGTGGTTAGATCTTTCAATTTAACTATCGGAATCTCTTTTGACTAAATTGACTAAGTAGATGACTTCTTTATTTTCCTCTCAGAATCTTTTATTCCTTGGACAATTGTAGAATCAGTACTATCGAAACTTCACGATCGTTGATCGATCGGAACAACCAAAGGGGGTTTTCCGAAGAAATTGATTCATTTTATTTGTATCGAGTCATCTAAGGCTGATTAAATATTGTGATTTTTCCCCCGCAATCTTGAATTAACTTTATTTATTTGGTCAGTACCTAGTCATACTTTAATCTCAGCGTCACCAGTGACCTTCACGCCGTTCTTCGGTCGGAGTTAGCAGGAGACCGTTTTGAAGCTTGGGATTATTCCGGAAATTTTGTTTTGGCTATTCGTTTCATTCCAGTGGTCGTTCTGGTAATAACGACCTGGCGCTCGACTTATTTGATGTTTCAGGGTGGTCGTACGTCCAAGGGCTACGTAGTGGACCGAGGGTTCCGTGAACCTCAGGAAATTACGTCACAGGACATAGTTAAACTTGAGGTTGATGAAGTACATATTTACCTAAAAATTTCATACTGTACTAGAGCTGCAAAATTTGGATTATATGTTATTCAGCACATTCAAAGACGATCCCCAAATTTTTGAGCATTTTAATTTTTTATTTTGCAGGTGAACATGTACGAAAAAATTTCATAGAAAAATCTAGCGATTTCGCTAAGAAATTATATTGAATTCCCATTGGTGTTCTATAAGAATTCTATTTGATTACTATTAGAATTCTATTGGAAAATTCTATTTGTTTTTTGCGCCGATTCTATAGGAGATTCTGCAGGTTTATAGCATCATTTTGTTAAGAGAAAACCTATTGCCTTTTTTCTATCAAATTTTCTCGTAACAAAATAATACCATAAACTTGAAAAATCTCCTATAGAATCGGTGCAAAATACAAATAGAATTTTCCAATAGAATTCTAATTGTTCTTGAATTGTACTTGAAATCGCTAGATTTTTCTATGAAATTTTTTCATATGTGAAGTATTCGAGGGAGGTTCCATCCCTGGAGTGCTAACATTTTTTTTGTCAGAAAAAGAAGAAAAAAATAGGATTCCAGGCCCCAGCACCGCTTTCTCCTACTTCGAAAGAGTCGAAACTTCTTTGGGGGTTTGAGGGGGTACCTGAGAAGATTCTGCAGATGAAAAATTGAAAGGGGCGTCGATCCTTCAAGTATGAATTTTTTTTCTAACAGAAAATTGAGGATTTCAGGTACAAGCACCCCTTTCTCCTACTTCAAATCAGCCGAAACTTCTTTGGGGGGTTCAGGCGAGGCTTGGGAACATGTTTCAGGGGGGGAATCCGAGGAGGCTCCCATCCCTGGAGAGTGAAAATTTAATTTTTTCAGAATCACCTGTAAAATTGATTATTTCAGACCTCTTTATTTTACTTCAAATGAGTAGAAGCTTATTTAAGGGTTGGGGGCAGAGATCGGCAGGCAAATAATATCCATTAATATTATTTCATTACCATATTAATGGTTAATGGGAAAAATTAAATTCTGATTACTTTTTTAAGCGATAATGAAGTCCAATTTTATTTTCATTATCATATTAATGGTTCATGAAAAAAAATCCATTCTGATTACTTTTGTAGTAAATAATGGAATGAAATTCATTTTTCATTATCACATTAATGGATGAAGATAAAAATTAAATTCTGATTATTTTTGTAATCTCCAATGGAGCAAAATTTATTTTT